AGGCCTTCCGGAAAGCCGTCAAAACCTGGCTGTGCCGGCAGGCCTGGGGTTGATGAGTTCCCCTCCCCTCTCGACTTGTATGGCTGTATGACTGTATCCCCTTTCCCCTTTTGAGTTGTTCGCCGCCCTGAGTCCCTCCCGGAGAAGGGCGGCATACAAATAAATTAAATCTTAATCTTAATCTTCTCTAGAAAAAGCAATGGTATAATGATTAAGGGATTGGGGAATCCCGTAGGAAAAACTATTTTCCTAATAAGTTCAGTAATAACATCTATTTCAATTCTTTCAAGACAGCTCTTACAAAAATGGTTTTATCCTATTTCTTTATTCCTGTTATTTTAGAAGCCTGTGCAAAACAGCCAGAATATATATCCCAGCAGTTGAAGAAGTAATCTTATTTGAACCCAAATCCTCTTGGTTTGGTTTTTTTTGCATCTCTTTTCAAAAGATAACAAGACAGAAACAGTGGCCAATTTTTTCTATTGGAAGAAAGAACGAAAAGTGAGATTTTATGTAATAGGTGAATATCTCTTTCAGGAAACACTTCAAAGAATATAATCTAGCTCAGTTTTGAATTATCTAGATGAGATGGGCAACACATTAGCCTAATTAAAAAAAATGTAACAGTGCTTATTTAACTCTTATTTTAGAAATTAATTCAAAAATAATGGTCTAAAATGCATATTTTAAAATTGATTGAATATGTAAATGTATACAGAAGTTTATAAAGTTACAAATAATTGTTTAAATTAATACTAATGGATTATGTTCCTTCAAATTTATTTCCAGTATAATCAAAATAAGAAAGCCAGTTTGATGTAATAGTTAAAAGGCTCTGGAATGGGAACAGGGAAAGTGAAGTCCTAGTATTCCTTAGCTAAAAAAGCCAACTTGATCTCTTTCAACTGGGGTGAGAGAAGTTGAAAAACATCTTTAAAAACGGTGCTGGCAAACCACTTCTGAAAAAGGTTGCCAAGAAAACTACATGAACCTATTGGTTCGGTCACCTTGAATCAAGATTGACTTGAACGATCATAACTATGTAATCAAAATGGTTGTCAAATCTTTTCAAAACATCTACAGGCAATCCTTCACTTAGGCCCATTCAGCGGTTATTCAATGGCTCTGAATGAATGGTGATTACAACCAGACCTTGGACTTTATCGTAAGTGTGTTTTTATTTTCCATTTTCATTTTCGTACAGTCACATATATACTGTGCATAACCGGGGCCATATA